GGTTTGAATATATATTATATATATTATATATATTATCCTTTATAATATTTATTGTTAACTATTTTTCAAAAATGTAAAAAAAAAAGTAGTATTTATCATTAGAGGAATATATTATATAGGCATAGGCGTGCGAAGAGTTCCTGGTCAGGTGCAGCACACATTTTTATCGGTCTTGATACCTTTTATTTTAAGAAGATAACATTTATAGCAAACTCATTATATATTACATATATTGAGTATACTACTGTATATAGCAGGGATCTTCAAACTTTTTAGGCAAAAGGCCACATCATTTTTTATAAATTACTTGTGGGACGTGCGTACACATAATAAAATATATTAATAATACATAATAATAATAATAATAATAATAATAATATGTTATATTATAATATATTATTATTATTGTATTGATATGCATAGAAATATGTTAATATGTGTCACTTTTATATTTATAATTGTAATCTGCGTTCTCCAGTATTCATTGTTATGAGTTCGTCTATTACTGTTCCAATTTTAATGTTATTTAAATTATTTTGTTCAACAAACAATAGTAATAGTGATTCCAGCCTTTCTTGTCACATTGTATTTCTGAGTTTAGTTTTTACAATGGTTAACTTCGAAAATGCCCTCTCACAGTTGCAGGTATAGTAGACAGGTATAGTAGAAAAACCTATTAAGACTTTTTTAAAATTTGTAAAAATGTCTCCCTTTAAATTTTCTTTTAAAAAATCTAGCCAATATATCCAGATTTTGTTGATGTGTCATTTGGAACACTTGTAATACATTTTAAAATTTTAATATCAGCAATAAATTCTTCATGAGAAATTAAAAAAAAAAAAGTAAAAAAAAAAACTTTTTTCAATAATGTACAAATATATCCTTTTATAGACTATAACTATATTCTTAAAATCGTCATCCCAGAAATGACAGATGCAGCCTAGACTGCATGTGCTGCACCTGTGCGCACGCCTATGTATATAGGTATTAGTACGTAGGAATACTGTAATTAGAGGACAATATTAAATAATTATGATAAAAGTACGTTTTGTTTTTTTTCTTTTAAAATCTCAATTTACATTTGGTAGTTGATATATTACATAAAATTGTTAACATTTTATCGTATAAATTAAAACAGTTAACGTTATTGATAAAAATTCTTTTGGTAAAAATAAGAGAGCGAATCATTTTATTTATAACTTTAAGTACAAAGCATTGAACTATTTAAAGTTTATATAAATTATATGATAAAATACAGGAATCCAAAAAATAATAAATTTACCCATACGAAATATATATATTCCATTAGTATGTTATAGTAATAGTCTACTTGTGTACGTCGTAACATACTTATAAGTGTATAGATAAATTAAAAAAATTCGTAAATGGTGACATGACAAGTATAAATTGTTGAAAACTATAAAACAACTGTTTAATTTATGATTGAAACGGTATGTCTTATGAACACAATATTTTATCATAAAAATAATTTTCCTCTGATTTCTTTTACCGCTTAATGAAATAATTGATACGAACGTTTCATAAGACGTATTTAATCTATTCTCCCCTGAAGAACTTGTATAAACCTTTATGGATCTATGTACATTACTACTATGTATATGAACACACGATACGACTATAGATTACAAATTAATATAACATGTGAGTTCTTGAACCTAACTTGAAACCGATCCGAAGTTTAATACAATCTTATTGGATGATGTATTACCTTTATATACATAATTGAGATTGTCCATCAGCTGGTCGACTTTCAAGCATGTTTCAAAATATTTTAGAAATGCTTTATGAGTCGTCACGCTGATACACCTTAAACTTTCCTAGGTCTTTATTCATAGATAAATCATAGCTGTCATATAATATGTCTGTACCCCATAACCCCAAAGTACACGCAGATAAATAACAGTCTTAATTATATATTTGCGTTTTTATTGACTGTTACAATCATTCATATTCATGTGACTGCCGGAGAACGATTTTGATTTTGCTGCGTAAAAACTCTCTTTAAAAATGCCATGATTTCTACGTTATAACATAAATATATCGAACGTACGTACGTAATACGGGACCTTAAGCACCTTGGCCCCAGGCAATGAACAAATTATAACGTAATAAATTTCAATATTCGCTAGAATGGTCGAAAAAACGGTTCGTGACGTCATGCAAAGTACGTTCGTAGACGATTATGCGTACGCATTAGACCGATCATAACATCACGATGAGTGGATTTCAACTAGTACCTAACGAGGAGCCATAGCATAATCTGCCGGTCTTGTTAATGATATTTTAATAATATTGTAACATTCGCAGTACAATTATTATAATAACTGAATAATATCGTACTCGCCACACAGGAAGCGAAGCGCGACCGGAACACTATACCTGTTGGCACGCTATCGGCTGCAGCAGCTTATACGCGGATATGATATTATGCGTCTATGCGTACGCCAATAGCATTGAATATTTGTTTAAGAACATTTTATGTTTGTGCGACTACCTTGAACCACACGTCTACGCGCGGTTGTAAACCGGTCCGATGTTTCTGACCACGGCGTCAATGTCTTCAAGAAAAGTGATCCTTAAATTATATGTTATATGTCGTGCGCTCGAATAATATTGTATGTGAATTGCACGTGGATGCACAAGGGGATCAGTTCCACATTCTACTCTCGTTTACTCGGTAAAATATTTTCTTCCACATTTTTCCCCCCATTAATTGTATCCGTATCGATGACGCAACGAACGTTTGTGTACATTAATATGCTGATGTTGCGTCGCCGATTATGTGTTTCGTGTTCATCGTGTCACTCACCGAGTCTAAATAAAATATTTATACCCAAATTATTGGTATAATAATTACAGATTTCATTGAGTTCCGTGCACGGCGAAACATATGAATGATACCTATACATCCTCTAAACAATAGGTGTACTAACCAATACCATTATTAGCGTTATTATTTTTAGCGCCCCGTGTAAAGAATCATTTTTAACGTCCCCATCCCTTCTAACATATATTTTTATATCTATGAGCTATAAGGAGACTACACAAGAATAAGAGGTTCTACATAACTACTTAATTTGTAATTATTAATATAATTAATATAATTAATATAAGTAATAATCAACAACTAAAGAACAATATAAGTAATATAACTCTAACTGTATAGGTATACCTATACGATTAGGGTTATATTACTTATACTTCTATAGAACAAAACATGTAGATAATAACCTATCATACTAAACCGGTATAATTTATTAACGATCAACTTTAGACATAAGTCAACTCCTCAACGAGTTATTAATTGTAAATTGCCATTCAATTTGAACATATCCGATGTACAGAGTGAGAGTTTGTTATGGAATCATTCATCAATTCATCAACCTGTAGGTTTATGTGAAAATGATAATGTTCCTTACATAGCAGCAAGTCCAGGTAATAAAATCAATATATTTATAATGGCATGAGCATTTATTTTTAATTTTAAGAATTACATTACCTTAATTAATTGTTACTTATGTAGACGGTCTTATTGAAGGCGATTCAATAATTGAAAAAAAATTTCCTTTTACTGCTAAAAACGAAGTAAATATATTTGAATGTATTAAAACTGGTAAAGGAACTCGAAGAAATTATTTTATTTTATTAATTTTTAATATGTGGACATTTTATAACGAAATCAAATTACGCATGGCTGTGAATATTGATTTGGGCTTTTTGTCGAGTCCATACTTAGTGAAAAATCAAATAAAACATAAGCGTAACTTTCAAAACATAGACAGGTGTTAAAAATAACTACATAAAAGTTGATTCTAAGTGGATCTGGCATTTTTTTTTTTTTTGGGCTTTTCACGAGCCATTTAGACTCTTGGCCGCTAAAACTAATTCCTTCCATCGTTCTCTGTTGTATGCTTGTTCCCAGTCCCCTCCAATTTCTTCTAATAATTCCCTGACGCTATCCCCCCACCTTTTCAGTGGTCTTCCCCTTGGCCTCTTTCCTCTTATCACATAAGTTAATGCTCCTTTCAGTACACTTCCATCGGCTCGCCACACGTGGCCTGCCCATTCTACCCTTGTCCCTCTGGTAAATTGTACCACATCTTTTCTTTTGTAGAGCTGGTATAGTTGGGTGTTGGTTCTTATTTCCCATTTCCGTGCCGCATTGTTGAATACGGGTCCGTAAATTTTTCTAAGAATTTTCCTATCGAATAGACCTAGTTTTTCATCATCGCCTTTTATCGTTGCCCATGTGGCACATGCATATGTCAATACACAGCGAATGTAACTTATGTATAAATGTTCTTTTGTTTTTCTTGACAACAGTTTAGATTTAAAGAGGGTTCTTAGTGCATAAAGGCATCGATTAGCAGCGTCCAATCTGATATTTATCTCTCCATGCATGTTGTTTTGGTTATTTAGAGTAGACCCCAGGTACTTAAACTCTTGTACTTGTTCGAAGATGTTATTCCTCACTTGGAGGTTATTATGATCACCTCCTCCTCGTTTTACCATCATGTATTTAGTTTTTCCACTGTTGATTATTAAGCCAATATATTTTCCTATCTTCATCAGTTCTTCAACAGTACTCTGAATACTCTCTTTTGAATTCCTAATAACCACTATGTCGTCTGCATATGCTAGTAGGACATTTCCTTCGTCAAGGTTTAATGTCTCAGTTCGTGGTATCTTTCTTATTACACTCTCCAATGCCATATTGAAGAGAACTGATGACATCGCATTCCCTTGTTTTAATCCATTATTTATTGTAAACGAAGACGATATCTCGTTGTTCACCTTGACTCGGCTGCTGGTGTTTGTGTTACATAATTTTATCATGTTGATTAATTTAGTTGGTAAACCAAAGTTTTTAAGGATTTTCCATAGTCTTTCTCTATCAATGCTATCATAGGCTTGTTTGTAGTCTATAAAAACCATATGCAGATCCTTCGCGAATTCGTAGCTTTTCTCCATAATTTGTCTTATGACAAATATGTGATCAGTAGTTGATTTATTTTTCCTGAATCCACTTTGGTAGTTCTCACTATCTCATCTGTGTATATTTGCAATCTTTTAAGTATAATTAATGATAGTATTTTATATCCAGAATTCAACAGTGTTATGCCTCTATAATTTTCGACTTTATTTCGGCTACCTTTTTTGAAAATTGGACATATCAATTCATTCCATTCTTTTGGTATCTTTTCCTTTGTCCATATCTGTTGAATTAGATTATGTAAGTTTTTTGTTAGGTTTTGTCTTCCTAACTTCAGTAATTCAGCAACAATTTTATCCTCTCTTGGAGACTTATTATTTTTTAGAGTTTGGATTGCATACTGTATCTCTTCTAAACTCGGATTTGGTACTTCTGGTTCCGCTGTGTAATATATGGCGTGGTCTTGTTCACCTATTCCTGTTGTTGAGTCTCTGTTAAGGATTTTTTCAAAGTACTATCTAAAGTTTTGTAATAAGAGTACCATTATTATCTTCTATCATCCGTATAGCAGGTACAAATCCATTTTTAAAGGTTTTCGATGTCTTCTAATCGCTCTTTTTCTTCAATTCTCTTTTCTTTTCTTATCAGAGTATTTACTTTTCTTCTTTTGTTCTCGAAGTCCCTTATGTTCTCTGGGGTTGGTGTGTGTATTGCTTTGATTCTGACTTCATTACGTTCCCTGATTGCTTTCTTGCAATTATCATTAAACCATTTCTTTGTTTTCTTTCTTTGTGTGAGTTGAATAACTTTTTCTGCGGATTTCGTTATTGAGGTCTTAATTACTTTCCATGATTCTTCAATCTGTTCTTTGTCGAAGCCTTCTCTTCTTCCTAAGATATTTGCCACTGTTTCTTGATATGTCCGTACAGTTTCCTTGTTTTATAATTTATCTAGATTATCTTAGATATATTAGATATCTTAGATTATATTATCTTAGATTTGCTTTTTATATAACTTCAGACTTACAAATATTCTTAATGTATGGTAAAATAAATTATTTTATTATAATGATAATGAATAATCCGGATAATCCGTGAAATCTTATATAATATATAATATATAAAATCCGTATAATTTGGATTTTTGTAATCCGGATATGCCCACCACTAAACATAACTTCCTGAAGTTTTAACTAGCCTTTTTGGTTATATCATCAGTACGATAGATGTAATACTCCAATATTATGTAACCCTTAGTTAATACAAATTAATAAAATTATAAATAATCGAATTAGAAGCGTTATATATGTATTCGTACCAAACTAAGTACCAACTACTAAGAATACAAGTATAAATTCGTTATAGACAAAGCATGTAAAATATATAATGGATTACAATATATATGACAGCTTTTACATAGACAATTATAAGGTTAATGCGTAGCCATATCTAGGTAATTTAATAATATAATTATTAAGTACACGAAGATAAGCGATATGTATTGTAATTTGTATTTTCAGGGTATATAGAAAGCTGCCAGTGCCCCTTTCCCAACTTAGTTATTTTTAGCTTTCAAAATTCTGGAAAAAATATACACACAAGTGTCTAAATAACTATTTAATTTAAAATTTTAATTTTTTTCTTAAAAAATAGGTAACTGAATAGCCATTTTTTTATTATTATAACTGACAATTTACAACATTTTGTTTTATTTTTTCTGTTACAAAACAATTTATTTTTACCAAATATCTTAAAATAAATTACTTTTAATTTGACCAACATCAGTTAAAATACGGGCACCTTACTTTTAAACTTAAATTTCAGAGCCCCATTCACAATATTTTGGGAGGTGCCTGACCACATCTGGCACCTTCAACAAGTACGCCTATGATAAGTACAATATAATTGTATACAATTTATCTAATGCCTATTAAAATTTACTGACATGTTTAAAAAAAAAAACCGAATGAAAGGTTATTTGTATTAAGTGTTTAATTTATGTGGGCCAGTGTATATAAATGTTTAAATTAATCCGTTTTACCAACAGAACTATCGTAAATTCATAGCCTAAACCAGTAACCATTAAGTTCTCCGCCCAGTGGCGTGACAAAAAAATGTGGGCCTTCTAGCAAAAATAAAAAATGGGCCCCTAAATATTGTTTAGGTAGGTATATCAGTTTAAATACATTAATCTGATACAGGTAAATCACGTATTTTAATTACGACTTTGTTATGATATAATAAAAAATAAAAATATTTATTTAATATTACTATTGTTTATACATACTATACATTGCTTACTGGCCGGTTTTCGATGGCATGAAAAAAAAAAAAATTCTGATAGAGGACGATTCAAAACTAATAATCATAAAATCTTATTTAATTTTGGCCGTTGTGTTGTAAGGATGGTAGACGAGTGTGTATCGATCAGTATATTATGCGAGCACTGTGCACAAAAAATTATCATATTTTGTTTAATTCGTTTAGTTTATTCTGTTCGGTTGCTTAACATGGAAGTTCGAGTATAGAAGAATATACTAGACAATCGGAAAAATTTACATTATATTTTTTATTTCGAGAAAATTATTTATGATAATATAATTTTGAATCTCATAAGGACATTTTAGTGTCCTTAAGATTCCCCAGGGCAGGTTAGTTATGTAGAGTAATAAAACGCCTTATCGTTAATATTCTTATTACTTTGTAGGTATTTCCACATAAGATTATACGTACTATAGATTATAATGGTATACCATGATTACCATACGATTACGAATATATTTAATAATAATAATAGATCATTATAAACATAGTTTAACACTAATTTAATTTGAAATAACAATTATTCAATTTTTTTTTTCGCGGGAATTAAATTTACTTTAATCGAAGGTCCCAAATTACCGTGAGGCCCCAGTTACGCCACTGTCTCCGCCCTCAATAATTTCAATAATTTTTCTTGTTGTAAAAAAATTAAATTATAACGTCCCCCTGTTTTAAATAATTTTATTGAGATAGGAGTTGGTTAACATATATCAAGTGATAAATTTATCAATTCATAGATCATCCATCTGCTTCCACTGTATGGAACGCCACTGTAACTATATAGGAAATTAGGATAACTGTATATTTTCAATATTATTTTAATTCAATAAGAAATCGTTCGTTTTCATCTCACAGAGATAACATTTTGAGTTATGTATTTGAATAGATATTGCCTTAATACCACAATATATACAATTGATCTTATAAACACTGCGCACGTGCACGTGCCGTCGGTTTATACCTCCTCTCCGAGTTCCAAATAAATTCGGTTCCTCGTGACCCTTCCCGTTCTGCAGACGATTATTATTGCACTCTTTCAAGCGATATTAGCATAACATTAGGCACCCATCTTAAACACGGTCGTGCGAGGCATTTGCGGGCGGTAAGAGTTGTACAATACGTGTGTGAATTTCCGATTGATATAAATTATAATGTTCAAAATCTCGGTCGGTATAATTAGAAATTCGACAGCCGCTGTCGCGGTTCAGTGGGTGGGAGGAAGAGTCGAGGACAACTGATTTTTATCAGCCCTATTTATCTCGTCTCACAAACACAACGCTAGTATACTGTATGTACAATAATGTAAGGTCACTCTTTTTTTATATGTATTCATACCGTAAATTGTACACTGTTCGCATTACGTCGCTGCATATACTGAATATTCTCCAATCTCGCAAGTCTTTTGTCTCTTTTATTTTTTGTTTCGCCGCAGGAACGTGCATTTCTGAGTACAGTGACTATACATTATTTTGAGTACACCACCGGCCTCGGGAAATGCCTTTGTTACAGAGGAACACTCGTGCGCAGCATTATAAATTAAATGTATACCTATAATAGAGGTTACGTTAGGTCGATCAGTTTAGTCGCGGAAATCGATTTACTTAGCTGATTGGTAGTCTAGTTCCTAATGAAACAGAAAGGGGTGGCTCCAGGGGGAACCCGGTGGCCACGGCCCTCCCTCAAGCACATATTGTATTTATAAAAAATGTATATTGTTAACAAAAAATGCATATTATAATATGGACTATCATACGACACGCACAAGTATGTAGATAGAGCCATAGAGGTATGACGGTTGAAAGGAGTTTCTCCACACTTCGGAGACTAAAAACCTGGCTTCGTTCAAGGATAACTGAAGATAGACTATCAGCACTATGTCTAATTAATGTATATCATAAAGTAGATATTCTAAATCAAATAGATCATATTATTGATATTTTTGTCAATTTTAAAATCAGATAACTTGAATTTGTGTTGTAAAAATTATTTTCTTTTTGTTATAAGATTTTGTAAAATTATAACTTGCCTCCCCCCCGTCTAACCAAGGCTATGGAGCCACCCCAGAGTACATAATATAAGCCATAGGTTTCTGTGAGCTGTGTAGGTTGAACAAAATTTTAGGTATTCGTTAAATAAATAAATTCATATTGGATATATGTGGGCCTAATTATCAATCGCACAGTTATGTAGTCGCACAGTAGAGTTAATACTGTTAATAGTATAAACCTACTATTCACAAATATACAACGATTATTAAAAATAATTTACATCCATCTCTTAAGGATAAATAAAGTTTAAAAGATAATAAGAACCTATCGGTCTTGTTAAATTACACCGTTGGAAATATAACATATTTTTTTTCTACACGTAAACTTCATGGATTGTAAATCGCAAGTAAAAATAACCAATTGGAGTAAATCCGAGGATGCACGACGGTGCACTTGCACCTCTGGCAATATTTAGCAGGGATAAAAGTATAAATTTGTACCTGCTGAAACAAACTAAACTCAAAATTCTATGAAAATATAATTATATTTGATAAAAGATAACAAAACTGAACAAATTATAACAATATAAAACACATTACGTTGTATAATAATTATGTTATCATTAATCAATTATAGTTTAGCTAATATTGTAGAAAAATTTAAGTAAATAATTTATAAAAATAAAAATACATTTTTGTGTTGCTAATGCGGTCGTTTCTATTTTTAAAATAAGAATAAGTATGTAAAAGAGTATGTATGAGTAATAAATGGAGATTTTATTACTCATCAAATATATAAGTTATTAGTATATTATGTTTATGCTTTCGTCCCAGGGGGCTCCAAGACTTAGTTGGGGGAGGGGGGAATGAGTATTACTTTTTATAAAACTATAACAAAAAATATAATATATCAATATCTAAGAATACACATGTTCCAAGTCCATTTTCCTCATTTTTGCAAATTACTAAAGAAGTTTTGTTGTTTGCATAGCTTTAAAACTAGAACGAATATTCCTTTATTTTTATCATGAAATGTATATAGAACGTATGTGCACTTGATTATATTGTGTACCACGATTTTAATGATGTTAATATCTCAATTATGCCAAATTTGGACATAGCATATGTGTGCTCTTAGGTATCGATATATAATATGTTCTTAGGGGGAGGGGCTGGAGCCACGCCTGTTTGCACCTGCTAAAATTTAATGGAATTAGGCCAATGAACGTAACTATAAGATTTAATAAATATTTCATAAAAGCGTTGTTTCATATGATAATTTTTCAAATATTTTCTAACAAAAACCAATTACAATACCAAAAAATAATTAGATACCTTCAAATAAATATAATAAGTATGCTGTTAATTTATCATCAAACTTTTTAGTAAAATGCTTCGGTGCATCTATTTAATTAAATTAGTAGAACCCTAGACAGATACTTTTTTTTTGTCATTTAACTTTTTTTGATTGTGGTCTATAATCTTAATTCAATCACTTTTTAGCAGAATTTTTAATTATACCTTTTAGGTTTCTTGTTTATTGGGGAAAGACATGGTTATACTACTACTAATCCAAAGAACCCAAACATAATCACTAAATTATATCAGAGGTATTATATATAGTATTATTTATAAAAACTAAATAAAATATTTGGTCTATTTCTTCTTGTTTATTTTTTTATATGCTAATGGTTAAGTTAATAATACTTCATTAAGTAATCTGGTCATAATTTAAATATAATTTTGGACATAAAATATTCGTTATATATATAGCTATAAATATACAAGTTAAAGATACATATCACGTGGCAATAATTGAAATAGCTTTGGAAAATGGTGATTTATTTACCTAAAAATTAAAATGTATTAGTTTAGTAATTAAACAAAATACTAAACTAGTAAAATGTGTGCAATCAAATATTGTTATGACTAGTTTATTTAAATTACATAGTACTGCTCAATTTCATATTTTTATATTTTAATTACTGACCAAAAGTTTTAATGTTTATTACAGAAACATGGTTCAACTAAAGTATAACTTAAATCATACAATAGCCAGTCATTTTATTAGTTGGAATATTTTTTGATAACTTCTGAATTTTAGCAAAAAATAATTTAATCTTCAGACAATAGATCAAAATGAAGTATTAATTTATTTAAAAACTCAATTTTTAGAACCCACTGTGAAAATATTTACCATATTAGATCCTGTATAAATTATATTAAAATGGTATACATTTAATTTCAATAATAAAAAATGTTTAAGATACTTTCCACATTTATTTATTTCTTTAGAAACTATGCAATTTTTATTTCAGATGTTAATATAGCAGCATTGATATTTTTAAACACTTTATAAGAAATTGACATATCAATTTAAAAATATCCAATATATTATATCCAAGTTGTAATAGTATGTATGAAGAAAACATTTGTTGGTGTTATAACTATGAAATACAGTTAATTTTCATGATGGAAATTATTTATTACCACAATTTATTTTATTAATGCTTTAATGTTTATAAACCATACAAAATGATGTACTTATAATTACAATTTTTAAGACCTTTATATTTAAAATTTTATTTATTTAGCTTCATCCTTTATTCTGTCGTATATTTCATCACAATCTTCATTCTTAATATGTTTCCATCCATCTTTAGTAATATGATATACTGAAAATTATTAAAAAATAAATAAAATAATGAAAAGGAATGAAAAATTGTCTATAACTATATTAATTATCTTACCTCGAACAATACCACCACTGTAAGCATCTCTGTGAGTAGCATGGAATATAGCTCTTTGGCCTAGTTTTTGAGCTTCATCATCAGTAAGATCCCATTTATAACCAGAATCAAGTACACCAAATGCATATATTGAACCAGAACCTACCGAAAATACTTTTCCAGGTGTCCTAGAACCATCATTGTCAATATAAAACAATGACGGACCCTTAAATATTAAAAAAAAAAAAAAATTGGTCATTTATAATTTGATTTTAGTTTTAAAGTCAATATAGATTACTTACATTTTTATCATACCCAGCTAACATCATTCCAATAGACAATCCATATCCTTTATAATAATAAATCATATTTGACATAATTTTGGAAGCAGCTGTAACACTAATGCGTTCTTTGTTTCTTAGCTCGTGTAATCTGCATTGCTTAGAGAGAACTCGATCCCAGTAAACACAATCAGCTGCACCGCCAGCTAATGTACCTAACATGAAATCATTGATTTCTACAACTTTTTTCATACACTGTGAACCAATGTATTGTCCTCCAGTGGCTCGAGAATCAACAGCAATAACTATGCCTCCTTGATATTGGAAACCTAATGTTGTAGTACCATGATGAAAGTTTAATTCAACTGGACGACCCATTGTATCACGAGCTGTTATCATACGCATATTTTCAACTGGCTGAAATAATTTCAAAATATTGAAATATTGTACTCAACAAATAAAAATAAAATATATCCACCAAATACATGGTTAATACATATACAATATTTTAATATATAATTTATAGTTATTACATAATATTACTAACATAATACATTTTATACATTAAAATATAACTTAAAGAACACATAAAAAAGAAATTTAAAAGTTTAAAAAAATATGTAAGTAATGTAAACAATTATTAACTTCAATAAAAATGACATAAGTGTTAAAGTAACTAAAATTATTTTTATTTTTGTCTTTATTTCTTAATATATTACATTTTCATTATAGTCTAGTAGGTATAAAAACATTTTAAGAACTGGAATAAAATTATGAGTAAAATAATAAAGTATAGTCATGAAGTTAAACTATATATAATTAATTAATAAAATAAAACCATTAAATAAAATATAAAAAATATTTATTGTAAATAATATTATTCTTAGAATTTTTAGGTATATGATATATCCTGTTGATTATACAAAATAATGGCATATTTTATTACATAAAACATAAACTTATCATACATTGAAGTATATTTAGAATCAAATTCCTTACAAGATACTTACATTTCCTGGAAGTGTGTACAAATTCATTTGATTAACAGTATTGTCATTCTGAAAAGTCTCAAATGCTTCGTTTTCTTCAACTGCATATTTGCTCTTGAATAAAGTATCATCAGATAGTCCACACAATGATAGCATTGCCATAATTTATATTGTTGCTAGTATAAATACAAGTTTATGATTCCAAAAAAGCAATGCTAATGATTAATATCAACGTTGGATAGTTTAGTAAAAAGTTCAACTCAATGATATGAATATTATATTTGTTGATTTATCATTTTTGAAAAAATTCACATAACCTCAAATATCTTATATATATGCGACGTTTCATTTCAAAAAATTATTAAATTTGGTTTTGTAAGAAAATATAATTAATTGTAATAAAAATTATTTATTTTTCAAAATTATGTAATAATAAGAAATTTTTTTGATTTTATAAAGTTCTAATAATTTTTGTAATATATTATAACATAATGTATAACCTCAATTTTTTTTTTACTTTGGCAACATCGCTTTTGTCCACACTTCATTCTTGTTGTTGTGGATTAACTAGTTCTGTTCCTTTTCTTCAAATTTTCCGCACGCGTTTTAGGTACCCAATTTAGGTAAGTAAATTTATCTATTTATTAAATTTTTCTTGATATTTTTATTCTAATTTTAAATTATTAGTTTACCATCTAGTATAACGTGGTTTACTATTTAATGTAATAACTCATTAATTTCTATCTATTGACTTCGGGTTTCTTTAAAAACGTGAGGTTTCCTTATCCTTGCGTTGTCATTAGTTTTTGACTTAACTTATACTTAAGCAGTTTTATGAATTAATATTTTATTTAATTATTTACGGTTCTTATTATAAATTATTTAAACAAATAGATGTTTTTTTAATTTATGTTTGAATACATTTTGAGGTTATGTTGTTTAATTTGTAGGATTAGGTCGGTCTCCTAAAATGGGTGGTTATAAGTACGTGCAAGAAGTCTATAGAAAGAAGCAGAGTGATGTGCTTCGTTATTTGTTGCGTATTCGCGTTTGGCAATACAGACAAATGACGCGCGTGCACCGTGCGCCTCGTCCAACTAGACCCGACAAAGCTAGACGATTGGGATATAAGGCCAAACAAGGTAATGATTTTATAGTTCTTGTCAAATGGTTATTGATTACTTAATGCCTAAATTATACTTTTGAATGTGATAAGGATTTTCCATATTCCGAGTGCGTATCAGGCGTGGTGGTCGCAAACGTCCAGTACCTAAAGGTGCTACCTATGGTAAACCCAAAAGTCATGGAGTCAATGAATTGAAACCTAAGCGGTGTCTGCAATCAATTGCCGAGGTAATTTTTTATTAAACAAGTGTCTATAAGCAAGCCTACATACACGTATATTATTTAAGGTATACATATCTGTATAGATGCTGTAGTTAAGTTACTTTAGTTAATGGTTTAATATTGATGGCTTAAATTTGTTCTGTCTTACTTGTTTATGATTCTATATTTTATAATTTTCTTAATTTTTTTTAAATATGAAGCTAAATGATGTTTTTTTTACCATGTATCACTCCTTATTTAACATATGAGGATAGTACAAACTATTATAGCTTGTTGTATAGCTATGTTCGATGATATATAAATTGATTTTGTAAATGTACATGATAATTTTAATGATGACAATCATATATACTTCTAACAGCTGATAGTTTATGATGGATTTAACTTCCTTGGATGTCTGAATTTACCATGTTACATTTAATGTATTTTAGTATAATTATATTATATAATATGATTATTTTAATAATTTTTAAGTATTGATAAAGGACGATCATTAGATGAAGTTTTAATTTAAATTACTTTATTGATGATTATGTACCATGCACCACTCCTTTTTTCATTAGATGAGGATAATTTTTGTTAATAACTGAATATTTTACTATAATTTTTATTTAGATTTGCAAAATAATATATTTTAATTATTCTTTATGATGATTATGTACCATGCACCACTCCTTATTTAATTAGATGAGGATAATTTTTATTAATAACTGATTATTTTAATACAATTTTTAATTAGATTAGCAAAATAATATAATTTAATAATTCTTTATGATGATTATGTACCATGCACCACTCCTTATTTTATTAGATGAGGATAATTTTTATTAATAACTGATAGTTTTTACTTATATTTTATAATTTATAGATTAATAATATATATCTTTATGATGATTATGTACCATGCACCACTCCTTATTTAATTAGATGAGGATAATTTTTATTAATAACTGATTATTTTACTATAATTTTGAATAAGATTTGCAAAATAATATATTTTAACTATTCTTTATGATGATTATGTACCATGCACCACTCCTTATTTCATTAGATGAGGATAATTGTTATTAATAACTGATAGTTTTTACTTAAATTTAATAATTTATAGATTAAATGTATCTTTATGATGATTATGTACCATGAACCACTATTTATATCATTATATTAGGATATCCTAAACTTAAAAATTGGACCATCAAGTATGTTTTATGATGACAAATATGTGTTTTAACAACTGAATTTTATTGAAGGGTTAATCTTCCTTGGATGTCTGAAAACTATATTATTGAATATGCCTAGTATACCACTGTCCTTTATGAACATTTGATTTCATTAGTATTTTTTCTTAAGCATTTTAATTCTGTTTATAAATATTTATATTTAACTGCTGATAGATTACTATTGAGGATTTAATCTCCTTGGATGTCTGATTATTTTGATTTGTCAATCTGGTGTATTATGAAAATTATGTACTATATATTACTTGTATTTATTAAATGAAGAATCAATATTTTACCTATCTGATACATGTTATTATATTATTAATATTATGTCTTCCATATAATTATGCATTCTAATATACTATAAAATTTAAAACATCAGAATTACATCAGTTATATGTTTAAATTCATAAAAATAAATCTATTTAAATATTAAAGTATTTAAGTAATCAATAAATCATTGCAGTTACTATATGATGATAAACTGTGTTTTGCATTTATTCACTGAATTTGATTTTTGTAGACAAAAATACATTCTTGTTCTCTTGGCTATCTGAAATGAAAAAACTGAATTTAATTATTTTTAATCTATCGTTTTATATAAGTTGCATTTTTTATTTCATATTATGATGATAAGTTGTGTTTTCTATATTATATTCGCTGAATAATATTTATGTAGACATAAATACTTAGTTCCCTTGGCTATCTGAAATTATAAAGCTGTGACAAATGATTCTTAAAATTAATAGTTTACTAAAATATTGACTTTATGATGATAAATTGTGTTTTGTAAATATTCACTGAATAATATTTGTGTGGAAAAAAAATACATGTTCCCTTGGCTATCTGAAACTAATTAAAATATTTTGATTTAAAACTGAAGATTCTACTGTTACAGTTTTTACTTATAAAATAATTTAAAATGTCTGTTATCCGTATTGCACTTTGTGTAATTATTTCTTAACATATATATCAAAATTATTTTCATTATTTTTATATAAAAACCATGCTAATAATAGGGTGAACAATATAAAAAGTTTAGGTGGAACATTTTATCTTAATTTAATATTCAATTATACAATAATGATGATAAATTGTGTTTTGTTAAACTACTGAATAATTTACATGTTGACAAAAATACATTTTGTTCCCTTGGCTATCTGAATTGTATTTTTTAAGTAACCGTTTTTTTTTTAAAAGAAAATGATCCATCAAGCATTTTCATTAATACATAATTTTTGTTTTTTATTTTTTTATTATATTTTTCTTGATAAATGTTTATTTAGTTAATTATTATCAATTATCACCCTGTAATGGACTAGATAATAATTCTTTTAATTTTTTATTTTAGGAAAGAGTTGGTCGTCGTTGTGGAGGTCTCCGTGTCCTTAACTCTTACTGGGTAGGACAAGACTCAACTTTCAAATTCTACGAAGTTATCACTGTTGACACTGCACACCCAGTACGTTAATAATTTAATCTTAAATGTTGATTAAAATTATTGTATACTTTAATTTTTAACTATTTTTAAAATAAGGGAAAAGTGAAACAGAACTTCATTCAGTTTTTAAATCAATATTTCTAATACATTTTTTAAAACTTTAATAACCAAATGTCAATAATTTCTTTAATTTCTTTTTTTTTTTAGGCTATTCGTAGAGATCCCAAGGTCAACTGGATATGTAACGCAGTTCACAAGCACAGAGAATTGCGTGGTAAAACTTCTGCTGGCCGTAAATCTCGTGGTCTTGGAAAAGGTCATGGTTTCTCACAAACAACTGGTGGATCAAGAAAAGCATGTTGGAAGCGCAAGAACACCTTGCAACTTCACAGAAAACGATAGACCCATTATTATATACTTTTTTGTATTGCGTTTATTTGGCAACATTGTATGTATAATAAAATGGTGATTTATCTTATGATGTTCCATTACAGTTTTTTCTTTATTATTTGTTATGTTTATTTTTCTCTGATACCTAATGAAAAAATAGTTATTTTAAGATGTAATAATTAAAAATTCTTATGAAACTAACATTGATATAAAATAATTTGATAGGGTTTTTAGAGAGAGAGTAAATTATTTTTAAAAAAAACCTTTCATATATATCCAATTAATTTAAAATTTCATTGAACTTAAAATTTTTAGTTCTATAGAACTAAGTAACACCATGTATAATTTTTTTATTGCTTTAAATATCTAAAAGAATGAAGTATTGAAATCTATGTTAATTGCATGAAATAAAAGTAGGTGTACTAAAATAAAATTTAAATTCAGTGAAGAATTCTGTTTGTAAAATTATCTATATTTTATACTATCAAATGATAAAAATATTTTACCAATGAGTCAGATTTAATTTAATGATGGATACTTGAAAACATTTAGACAGTTGTCCTTCGATGCTGTCTTTTTTTAATTCAGCAAAAATATAAAGTAAATAATCTATTGCATGCACTTCTGATTAGTTATACCTACTTATAATTTAAGAACAATGTGAATAGCATATTACATTAAAAGGATGTCAGCACAAAATAAAATGTATGCAACGCTCCAGAAATGGTGTTGCCCTTTGTGGCAGGCCGTAATCACCCTTATCGTCGAATTTTATAGCTGCGCTGAACTACTCAAAGAATATTGATACTTAAAATTTATTAATGTATATTCGGAAATCAGTGATTATCATTTCTAACATGTATTTTTAAATTTGGTGAATTCAATGTCATAATTTAACAATACTTAAATAATTGTGATATCAAATGTATCATGAGTACTTATTCGTAGACAAGTTTATTATAACAGAATAATAAGTTTGAATAATAGATGGGTCACATGTATTTTTTTTTATTGGGAAACATTGCAGTAGCGTTGCAAAAAACATAATTACGCAATTTATTTAAAATAGATGTTAAGATACTTGGACTTTAGTGCCCAACAAAAGCTTACTTGTAAATATAAATCTTGCACTGTAATAATTATGTTCAGCAAATAAGTAAAATTGATTGGTCAAATAATACAAAACATCAAAATGTATTAGAATACATATATATATATATATTGGATTTTTCTATATATTTTTAATCTTTGGTCCTCTTAACACAGCATAATAATATGAATTTAATGATAACGTATACATAATACCCATTTTATAATAAGTATAAATTCTTCAATAATATTACTAAGTTCACATAAACATTAATCATAGCATAAATTTGGATATTGAAATTAATAAATATTAAAAAATAAAAATAACATATCACAGAGAACATTAAAACTAAGGTGTACGATAAATCATTTTTAACAAAATGGTAACATTAAATATATTATAAGTCAAGCAGTGTTTTTGGAAACAGATTCATCTTGATGAAATCATCCAGAACCTGCAAGAACAATTATCAATATTAATTACTTATTATATTAGTAGTGATCAATCAATACAAACCTGTTTTAATAGATCAATGGTAATTTTAGGATATTTGAAAATATAACCAGTACTGTTGATAAATTTATTTCCATTCAAATGTACACGATAGCCAATCAAGTTATCTTTTTGAATGAATGGAGTCAGAGGAGTATTATGGATATTGGACTTTGAACATGCTTCGGCCCATGGTATTGAGTGCTTGTCATTTGCATTGGATGCAATAATATCTAAATCATTCTTGAATAAAACATGAATTAATTTTATTACAACAGGACTTTAGAAATTCTTATGTTGAAGATGAAAATAGTTTAATATTTTAAAACAATGGAAGTCATAATGATTTATATACTTTACACAAGGATGAAAAAAGGGTTCCAAGAAACTCGTGTTTGATTCCAAATATTGAAGATACTATTCCAGCAATCATATCTTGTGTAGTCTGCCCAATATCCACCAAATTATATGTTTCTCCAATAGCTTTTGGTAACTTCAATAAATCCCAAATTGCTTTACAAACATCTTCAACATGTATTGTGTTACAAGCTGTACTACCTTTCCACAGTATTTGAATGGGTAGATGTAGACTCCGATACAAAGAACCAATTACAAGATTTGGAGCTATAACACAAATTCAATTAAATGCCAACAGTCAATGTCTTTGCCTTAGGCATAGAAAACACATACTGAGCCCAGTTCTGTCGCCTAGGCCATACACAATAGCTGGTCTGACAACCGTATAAGGTAAATTCGGAACATCTTTCAACTGCTTTTCTACTTCTAGTTTGTACTTTGCAACTGATGTGATTGGCATTATTTGGTCATCTTCTTTTATCGGTTCTTTGTGGTTACTGGTAACTTGTCCAGATGACACTTCAACATAACGTTTTACACCAAACTTGGCAGCAGCATGAGCACAGTTCATACTAAGTTTAACAATTCCTTCTTCGTAAATTACATCCGGTAGATTAACTCGTGTTTCACCGGCACAATTTATGGCATAATCAAAAGAACCCTCAAAAGCACTTTCACATGGACCTGTACAGAGGATAAAGTAAAAACCATGTTTTAAGTGTATGCTTTCGTTTGGTGGGAGGAATGCATGAGATTTTACCTTGGTTTATTAGATTCGCACTATGGAATTCGACTGAAGAGGATTGGAACGCTTCTTTATGGTCGTCATTGAGCCAAGCTATCTGAGGCGGCACCTTGTCGACTACCCTGATAAAAGACGCCAAATTGTTGTCGACCAAGTACTTGACCATATTGCGACCGATAAAACCACATCCTATATGTTCGGTTCAGAGGCAATCAAGAAATTAATACGATAATGGATGGTAGAGAAATAATAAACAAAATCTACAATACCTCCCAAAACCAGTACTCGGTCTCCAGACATGTTGGACGTGTAGACGACGGCGGTGGACTAGCGTGCGATACGATATTGTTCGAAACCGATAACGCTCGGACAGTATTTTCTGCAACGGAACACGCAACATGTAGTCATCAACGCGCGTATCGATAAGATTTTTTTTTTTCTACACACAAAGCGTTTTGGCGTTCAGATAAAAAAGGATTTCGTACGTGGCGTACGGACGGCGGGTGCCGGTCGACGAACACATATTGTCGAAAGAGGAAGTCTCGTCATCGGCGTGCGCGCGCGCACGCGATTAGAATAATGCAATACGGCCATCACGCGCGACTCGCACGTACAATAATAACATACAACACGCGTAGTTTTCAGGGTTTTTTTTTCCCCGTCGTTCTAGCGACAGTCATAAAAATGATCATATCGTACCTATGACCTACGCTGCGCTCGGCGAAACAAATGCTCGACGAGGCAAGTGAAAAAAAAAATATATTTAACGATGTAATACAGTAGTCGTACATCATAATTATATATTTTAAATATTATATTATTAATACTGTTATAAGCGTTTTTTTTTTTTTTTTTTTTATAAACGCTTACCTGATTATGAGGTGTACCTGAAGACGTAAGTACGATTATATGATTATAAATACTACAGATCGCTCATTGCAGAGTAATATTCGCTCTGCGTGTTCAGCGGCGTTTGCCGCTATAAGCCGCTGTTTCGGAAACGAGTACCGGCGTTTTACGTTTGAATCGCTAGTGCGCTTTATTAGTCCCACCTATCACAATACATTTTTGTCGTCTAAAATCGTGTGCGGACAGTAGACGTCATAACGTTATGTTTGTCCGCGATTGTGTTTACGCATCGCGTGGCTTTTTTCACAAACACCCGCCTTGTTAAAATTAATAATATATTAATATTTATTATTAATTATTCATTTTCGTGTATTATTCATCCAGTATTGGAGGTTGTTATTAACCCTTTATATGTCACAGGAAAAAAGCAATAAACCTTTTATAGGGAACTGGTGTATAATAGGTACAACTTGCCGACAAAAATTTGTGACCTTATTTAGTAGTCATTAATAACATTTTATTTATAATAATTATATTAGTTATAATTAACATATTTGTTTACACATCAAAATTGATCAATTGCCAGTTGATAAATAATTTAAGAACTATTATAATATGTAATCATTCATAGGTATTTGTGTGTACTTTAATTTCATGATAATTATGAGATTAATCATCGTGAGAGGTAAAATATGTTATGTTTGTCTATTTTCACTCATGAATGGTTATGTTTTAGCTCCGTTATTGATTATAAATACTTATCGTATTTTTCTTTATAGTTTTTTTACTTAAACTTGAACCCGATTCATATTGGGTATTCAGTGACTATTGTCCTCCCCCCCCCCTTTACTACATTTCTGCAAACGTCCCTGTTCACCATAGTACGTAATAATATGTTAACACTGTATTCATATGAAATTGTTTAATTTTGTTTTATTGTAAAAAAAAAAAATGTAAAATTGATAAGTAGGTACTATTTATATTTTACTTCGAATTAACATGGCATCTAATTTTTTTTTATTTTCTAAATACAAAACGAAATGTAGTAATTTTTTTTAGATGATAATCTAATATAATAAAATAATGATAATACATAATAAATAATAAAAATAATGATTTTTTAGTTGATATATTTCTTTTTAAATTTGCTCTAGCATTTTTCGTTACTTGCCCTTAAATGATTTAGCACATCTTGCTATTTTCCTCTAGCCCAAACCTGGTTATGGTTTAGAAGTTTGATATATTATACCATGTTGGTCTGAGGAAACTATTAATTCAACAGCTTAATAGTTTAATTTAAGTTAAGGTTAAGTTAACCGACATCTTGGACCTCTCAGAACACTAAATTCATTCTCTAAATTCTACCGACCACTTACCTATATTTTTATAATATTTAAAATTTATATTATAAGTCTCATGTCCTTATCCAGAGATAATAGCTTTTTATATAATTACGGTTCTTCTGATAAGTATTATACAAAATTATTATAGAATAAAAATACATTTATAAAATAATAAAAAAGGATTTTTTTTATTTAAGATGACAGTTATAACATTGATTAAGTATACTTAATCAATAGTTTTAAGTTACTTTGAGTATAACAAATTAATTTAAACCTAGTATATAAACGGCGAGTAGGTATTATACATATTAATCTTCATGTGATTTGTTCCTGTTGGTTTTGAAGAAGTTCGTGCATTTTTGGCTCCAATTTAGTCACTGCAAGAAGTAGAGCTTTACTTATTTCTAGTCGAGACTGATTCCTTATCTTAATAGCTGTGACAGATGAAAATGTTTTTTCGCATAAATACGTTGTTGAAAATTGAATTAAAATTTTCTTTACTTTTTCACTCAGTAATGGGTATTCTTTTTTAACGTACAGCTAAAATTATTTTGATAATTCCAGGAATATAGTTTTGAGTGTAGAGTCAGATGATAAATCGATGAGGCTTTCTTTTTCGTTCATATTTATCTTGTTATATTTATTTTTTGCTGCAAATGGATCTATTGTCCACATATTGCAATGTCTAGGATCTTTTTTTTTTTAAATAAATAATGACAAAAAGATTGTGTGATTGTAATGTTGTTGAATAATAGCTACCACCTGCTGGTTGACGTCCTTCTCTTTCATATATTAATCAACATTTAGAAACAATCAGGCGCGGATACAAAGGGGGTTATGAGGGCTTAATACCCCCTACTTAGACATTAGGTAGAACCTATCAGAAATAAGAAAGACTTCGTATAAATCGACATGCGCAACGAATTTTGGTAGTAACTCACTTTACTAGTCCCCTCTTTTTTAATTTCTAGTTCCGTCCCTGGCAACAATTGTAGATCCTCTTTAGCTAACTGCGTTTGTCAAAGAAATACTTTTTTTTTAAAAGCATCCATTTTATCTCGTACTGTGAATACATCCTTAAGTTGTCCTTGCATAGATATATTTAGTTCATTTAAAAGCGACAAAATATCTGCCAAATATGCAAGTTTGGCTACCAACTCATCATTGAATAAGAGTTCTTAAAATTTCAGATTATTTTGCTGTTGGAAAAATTATTTAAATTCTTCGCGTAGAACAAACAGCCGGGTTAAAAATTCCCTTTCGACAGGCATCTTATCTCTGAATGAAGGTCTGTATATTGGTGTATTATAATTTATTATGATTGGTAGTTCTGTGTTCACAATGTGATTCAAATAACCTTGAATTAAGCGTTTTGTGACAAATATTATTCACAACTTTATAATGCATTTAATAAAAATTAGTTACTTATTAATAAGTGTAATTAATTAATTAAGTGTTGTTGTTCCTTAAACCATAAAGTACATAATATTGTTAATAATTTTTAAATAAAAAAAAAATTGTTTATCCAAAATTATGAAGATTTTTTTTTTGTGTTTCATTTTGATTAAAAAGTTATATGTTCACCTTAGTCATAACAAATGGTCATTGACATATTTTGCATAAAGAAGTAAATCATATCAACTGATTTTCACACATTATAGTCAATATATTTGTATGAATTATTCATAATATGAGTATAAGATTTAAAGTACGCTGTATCTTATGTCGGAGTGCGAACTAATTATGTTTTATTAATCATTTCAAGTGAAACATTTTTATTTTGTTCCTACCATTGAAATATAATAAAATATAATATATTTCTATGGTACCTATAGTACATTGGAATCAGATATTTCGTTATCTAAAGAAAGTGGTTTGGAGGGTACCATCGCTGGATGATTTCCCTCATCTTGTGCTTCATGTTATAATATTTTATTTTATGTATATAGTGTTATGTCAGTCATCTATTTTACTTATTGTGTTATGTAATACAGATTGAAAATTTTCTAAATAAATAAAAAAAAAAGAAAGTGGTTTATATTTTTTATATTTTATCTGAAAATGTGTAGACATTGTACCGTTTGCGCTCATTCTTACATGTTTTCATATAATTTTTTTGTTTAATTACTTGTGAAAACTACTGTCTCAATTATATTTTATATTATAATAAGTAGATGGCACCTACATCGTTTAATTTATTAATTATAAAATATAAATTAGCGAAAATAGAATAAAATAATTATTTAAAAGATTTAAATATAAATCCAACACATTTAAAATATTCATAGTATCTATTTAGAACCAAATTTAATCTAACCTATATTATAATAAAATGAAATCATCATACAGGCGTTCTTAATGATAATTATTTTTAAATTTTAACATTACAATATACATTTATAAATAATTTAAGAATAAGTTTACTGTCAATTATTGTACTTTAGAAAATTGGATTTAATTATTTCATTTGTATTCCAAAGGGCTAACGGATCATATTTATCGTTCTGTGAAGAAGAGTCACGTTTTTGAAATACGAGTACAAATATGTAGGATGCACCTAAACAAATTCGTATCTACAATTTTAAATTTTATCATTACACCCATAAACATAGATTTCAAAATATTGTTATTTGTATAAGCATACATCTATAACTTGTAGACTAAGGGTCAATAACCTATCGATATTTTTATAAATATAGATCGATTGCAATAAAAAGTTTTGGCATTGATTATGCCAATCGCATCCGTCAGAACAATGGTAACTTTATATGTCTTTGGTAGTAACTAATGATGTCATTTTTATATGCATAGTATAGAATATTTATTGAATTTTATTATTCTATTAATATAAAATTAAAATAATGATTGTATAAATTATATTTTAAAGACCAGATTTACCTTGATCAAATTATTGGATTTCCAAAAATAAGTTACTGCTAGAATGCAGGGCATATTTATATTTGTTATTATTATTTCTTTTAAATGTATTCAGTGGCGTACCCAGGATTTTATTACTGTCATTCAGCCTTTTTCTGAAGAGGCCATATCGTATCAACCATCTATATTCTGTATATAAATTTGATCGCTTCTCTAGCAAGAAACGAGTTACTTTATTTGTTTGTTATTGATACCTAATATAAATCACTTTTCGCAATAACAAAAGTGATTAATAATTATCTCATTATTAATTATTGATTTTATTTATTGCATTTCGATTGTTTTTAAATTAATAACTTAAATATCTGTATCATTTGAACCATCTACTTGTATACAATGATTTTTAAAAGAGTACAAGACTTAATACACTTAAAACTTAATAGTCCACGGATGCGGAATCAATCATGATTGGTAAATCGGTAAACATAAAACTTGTTTCACACACGACGGTTTCGTCAGTGTGGATTTTAATTGACAGTAAACACATGAAAGTGATTGCGGCTTTCACATGGGTCGGTGAACGGATTTTTCTCGTACGGCCGTCGTGTCGACGACTGAAAAGTACGACGGTGCCGTCTTCGTTTTATTTACAGCACGTCACGACACGATAAAATATTAAATTATTAGTTAATACGAGATAAAACCCATTTAAACGGACGATACCAAACCGTCACACGTTACAGCAAGATCCGATCAAAACATTTTGGACGAAGGTCGGTCGGTCGGTCCGGTCCGTGTTGTAACGTATAGCGGTGTGGTGTCGTCCGTAAAAATGTATTTTAATATAATATCATATTTTGATAAGCTAATAATTTAATATTTTGTCGTACCGTTAACTTTTAACGTGCTGTAATGGTCAGTGTCGTGTCGTAAAAGTGTGAATGGCGCTTAAAATGAAGACGGTACGACACCGTACTTTTCAGTCATTGACACACACATATGATATTTAATAAACCACTATTTGGGAGAAACAAAATAATATTATTGTGTCCGGCATTGAATTAGTCATGATAATTAATTACACAAATACTTAAATATTATATTGTTATTTATACAATAAAAAGTGTATTAAAAAAAAAAAAAAAAAAATTGATAATTCTTATTTATTATAATAAGTCTATTTATATAATTTATATAAATATATATTATACATTTATTTATATACTAATTTATATAATAGTATTATATTTTTACCTCTTGGAGGTATATTCATGACATCGAAAAAAATGTTGAATGTTTCTTTAACAATCATTCATAAGTTATTTAATTTAGAACATAACAAAATCAATACATTTCCTATGTTTTACACATATAGTAAAAAGGTTGAAGTACAGAGATCAGGTGAAACGGAAACGATTGATTGATTGATATAGGTGTTTTTAAAAATTTAAATTTAATGTTGGTACTATTCTATATTGATTTTAAAATTTAAAAACCATTCTGAGCGAATGATGTTGGGTGTATTAGCCTCTATATCATAAAATAGTTTATATTACTATATTAGTTTAATTACCTAATACTTTCATAAACAGATTTTTATAGTAAAAAAAATTGCAAATATATATAATACAAAATTTGGACTTTGATTTAATTAATTTCATGAAAACAGTTAAAATTAATATTTAGATAACCTAAATATAAATTATATGGTTAATATTTTTAGTTAATAAAGTAAGTTATAGTTTAATTGAAATTCATATGAAATTCGTATACCTAATTTAATGAATTTAGTTAAAATATCTGATTTTTTTTAATATTATATTATGCTTATAATTTGTTTTTTGCAACTTTCAAGTAAACTTTTTTTTATATACAACGTAGGAAAATTTGTGAAGAAAAATATATCCAATTCTCAAACGTTAATTACGAACCTTAGATTTGTTAAAATTTGTAAATAAAAATTAGTGCTTATAAAAAAATGTTATTTACATTAAACTTTCAAAAACTATATGTTGAACATAACCGAAGAAAACTAATTATATTTGCACATTTGCATTTGTTCATATATTTGCAATTAATCATATCGCTTATGATGTAATGATAAATTATAGCTATTATAATTATTTTGTTATTATATTGGTTAAAAAATATCTCTATTTAATGAGTTATATGATAATAAGTTTGACGTATTATTTGAACAATCATAAACACATTGATAAACAATAAATAACAAACAGATAAGTACTGTGTGCACCTAGCTAAATATAAATTATACCAAATAATTTTAAAATTTAAATATATTTAATTATTTATTTGTTTGACAAATCATTATATACAAAATTTATTTTATCACACAATGTACTGAACTGTTTTGAATACTGCTGCGTTTTACTGAACATTCATACTGTTTACAGTTCAAAAATACTTTGATTTCTTTGGACTTTAGAATTGGTTAGTCTGGTTCTAAAAATATGTATTATCAAAAATATAAGTTATATTATCTTGCACCGAATGACTATAATATTTGAATATTTCATGAAATATTAACTTCAATACTCCCCACCAAAGCTTAATTTAATTATAATTACCTGATTTAATCAAATTACAAATTGTTATTTGAAAAAGTAATTAGACTGTATAGATCTAGTATTATTTATGATTTTTTTAAACTCAATATTTTAAATTTAAATTTAAAAAAATATTGTTTAAAGTTTATCATAAATGTAAATTTTTTTAATTGTTTATGTATTTATAATTGTAAATGCATTTATACCTATTTTTCCTTTCATTTTCAAAATAATATCTGGTATTTTGATTTATTATTCAAGTTAGATATATATTGAATTTATCCAGTCTTAATTTTTTATTTAATTTTTTTAATTGCAATTGTGTGATTTATAAATAGAGGTTTGACAATTAGTTCATGTGTTGTAAAATATGATACAAAAAAATTATAATAAATACATAGATTATGTAATGATTTCAAAGACTGATGGCTTGGGGAAAGAAAGCTATACATTGATTGAATTTTTTGAAATGTAAATGTTATATACAGTAGGTTAATTGTTTAATAGGTCACGACACTGTGTTTTTTACAATCGCCTTTTTTGGATCATCGGGAATTGTGAGAATAGATAATAGATTGTTCTAAAATCAAGAGGTTATGGTTATTGAATTTGAAAGAAATAACTTGTAAAAGATTTTTGCTACATTTCTAACGAGTTGAATAGAGATCATTATGGAGGATATCATTAGAAACAAAATATGTGGCTTTAGTTATTTGGCAGAAGTATTGATATTGAAATATTTGGATTTTATTGACGTTTTAAGGTTTGATAGATTCCCATAATTCCATTATCCATTATATCCAAAATCCATAATAGATTCCATTTGTCCGTATTGGTTTGAAGAGCTATTTATACAAGTTTGTAGTTGAGATTGACGTATTTAGAAGTCCGTAAAAGATGTAGTTGGCGAGATCGTTTGTTTTCCTACCCATATAACCATCAATTTATAAATATACATATAAAAAATATAATATACATATAAATATATCATAAATTCATACAATTAGTTTTAGTTAATTTTACCATTATGTATCATAAAATGTGTGCGAAGCTATAAAAAATATAAAAATTCTATAATGCTACGACCAGGACATTTTAATTTATAAAATATCGATACAAAAACATAACTCAATATTTTTAATTTTTAATAAACTCATGAGTTATTCGGTAACAGGGATCTTTACGCAGGGGTAAGTTTTATCACTCATCAAGAGAGGCTAATGGAGGTTCAAGAATTGAGTTATTTGGTTTTTAAATATATATATATATATACAATTTAAAATTACAGAATATGTTTTTGAGTTCCTCATAAGTAAGTCATTTTTTTCACAATAGTGACAAATTTTAATTAGGTAAATTATTGGTATCAATTTTCATCTGAAACAATTTTAAAAATATAGGTATACACATATAATTAACAACAAGAATGAATTATTTATTTATAAAAAATTATATAAAATAGGTACCATATTTATTAGTGACGATTGTCGATATTTTATAATAATTATTAATATATTAATATATCATAATACTTGGCTTTGTATAATAGTTAGCTTAGTCCTAAGGAAGGGGGGTTAAGGTTCCCTTAACCACCCACTTAAATCCGCCTTCGTCCTTACACGTTTTGTATTGCATTGAATATTTAATTATTTAAGTACTGTCAAACATCATACAAGACTTACCTAATTATTCCGAATTAATTTCGAAACCTTAGAATATTTATTTTCTAATTACAAATTTTTATTTTATTTTCATTTCATTACTCATAAAATATTTCCGTCCATTTCAATATATTCGTATTATATGTTGAATGTAGAGAGGGAAATGCTTTGTTCGAAAGTTACCGCTTTTGCTTCACACTTCTGTTTCTTCCATGATAAAATTGAAATGGAAATTCCATATGACCTAATCAGTAAAGTACTATTAATCAATAAGATAATAATAATAAATAAAGATAAAGTAAAAGTATAAAGTGGTATTATTTATTAGGCATCGTACAAAAGATTTTATTAACATTCGTATTTTAATAACAAAAGAAAATTTTATTATCAAAAAAATCAATTAATCTTAGTAAGTTTACATAAAAGTTGATGTTAACAATTTATAAATAGTTTTAGTCTGTAGGGAATTTATAATTTTGTATTTTTATAATTCTAGGGATACATTGATAAATAATTGTTAAAAATGGGTGCATTACTGTCATTGTGTACAGTAGGCCAAGTAAGTATTATTCTTCTTATTTTATTGTGTACAGTTCGATGTAATCTTCTATTATCAAATTTGTTAGATGGCTTGTTGTTGCGGCCAAGCGGCATGTTCACTGTTTGCGTGTTGTCCATCATGCGGTAACTCTACGTCAACTAAAGTGATGTACGGCCTCATGTTACTTGTAGCTGTAATTTTAAGTTGCATTACCCTTGCTCCTGGATTGCAGTCCTTTCTACAAAAGGTAATTTTTATTATAACGTTTCTTATAATATTAATATTTATTGACTGATGTGTTCAGGTACCATTTTGTGAAAATGAGCAAAGCTCAAGTTTAACTAAGAATTTCATGAATAACTTATCATCCGTGTCAATTGATTGTAAAGATGCTGTGGGCTATATGGCTGTGTACAGAATTTGTTTTGCCATGTTTGTATTTTTTTCACTAATGTCATTAATCATGGTAGGTGTAAAAGATTCTAGAGACAGACGAGCACTTATACAAAATGGGTAATGTTCTATAAAATTAATATTTTATTTTGTTATATTTATTTTGATACTATGAAATTTACTTCATAGGTTTTGGGGTCTCAAGTACATCATTGTATTTGCGGGTATTGTTGGTTCATTTTTCATTGCACCAGGAAGTTTTAGCCATATTTGGATGATTTGCGGTATGATTGGTGGTTTTATTTATCTTATTCTCCAATTTGTACAAGTCTTAGATTCTGCTCATTCTTTGGCCGAATCATGGCTTGACAAATGGGAACAAACTGAAGATAAGAAATGGTACATTCTATATTACAATTAAGTTAAAATGTTTTTAAATTAATTAATAGCAATTTATCATTTTAGGTATTTTGCGTTGTTGTTTACAACATTAGTATCTTATGGACTTGCCATTACTGGAGTTATTATTATGTATCATAGTTTTACTCAGGTAAAGTTAACATTGGTTAACTACATTATTTCTATACTTAAAATAATTATTTTTCTTTAGGATGATGGATGCGGATTGAACAAATTCTTTATTACACTAACAGTTGTAATATGTATATTTATTAGTTCAATTTCGATTACTTCGTGTGTACAACGTGTGCATGAAAAATCTGGTTTATTGCAATCATCAATTGTTAGTTTGTATGTGGTATATCTTACTTGGTCAGCACTCAACAGTGGTCCAGGTAATGTATATTAAATTTTTCAATCAAAATATTTTACCTTAAATAATATTAAATGATTAACTATTTACTGTTAATTTCTAATTTCTGTTAACATTTTAGAAACCAAATGTAATAAGAGTTTGGCAGAAATTTTCAGTAAATCAAATCCAGGCGATTCCAAAATTCATTTTGGTTCTGAAAACTTGGTCAGTATTGGAATTTTTGTTCTATTTGTTTTGTATTCAGCTATTAAAACTGGATCATCATCTAAATTTTCTATGAGTTCTTCTACTGAAAGAAGTGAGTGATTATAAATATTTGTTTTATAATGTATTTATTTATTTTTTCATTTTCTAGTAGGAAATGATAATGACGTTGAAGGAGGACCAATATCTGAAGATGACAATACTGGTAAACTCTTTGATGATGAAAAAGAAGGAGTTGCATATTCATGGTCATTTTATCATTTCACATTTGCAATGGCTACTTTATTCTTGATGATGACACTTACAAATTGGTATTCGTAAGTATAAACAATACATTTTTTAATACAATTATGTATATGTATAAATTATTTTTATTAATTTGTTTTTTTTTTATTAGACCAAACTCTAATTTGAATGACCTTCACCCAGACTATGCTTCTACATGGATCAAAATACTATCCTGCTGGGTTTGTGCTGGACTGTATATTTGGACATTAGTAGCACCAATTCTATTGCCAGACCGCGAGTTTTAAACTATATTATTAATAGTATCAAATAAAGTATAAAAAGTTTTAAAGTTTATAAGGTTTTAAAAGTTTAAATAGATTTTTTAATCTATCAAAAAATTAATTTGATTCTTATGTCTTTATAACATAAGGTACTAATCATTCATAATATAGTATCACTAAATAGTTAAGAAATATAATCTATTTATGGAGAGGTAGTCTTTTATTGATATTTTTCTTAACTTATGTGTTAGCTTATTATTATTATGATTAATATTAAGGTTTATAAATATTTTTGTATAATTTTAATTAATTTGTCACGTCAAAAATTAATTAGAATATTCGAACAATTTATAAGTGTGTTACTATTATTTATGTTTGACTTTAATACATAAAATGTATGTCATTGATTGAAACATTAAAAATGTATTTTACTTAATTATTTACCTTACTGTATTAAATTATGTTGTGATATAACAGTTAATATATTTAAGAATAAGATTAATTTTTTTTATTTAATTGAGTTATGTATGTAAATTATATATGGAAAGAAAAATGTTCAAATAAGAAAGATAAATGTTTTTTATTTTTTATTTATTTTTTGGCCTTTCATGACAGTTTTGAGTTGAGTAATTTCTTATATAACAAAATATGTGTAGAAATGTTAATGGTTTTTATTAAGTATTTTATAATTGTATGAAAATCTAACTATAAGTATATACTTTATTCCAAAGATGTAGTAATTAATTAATATTCAGACTATTAATTAAAAAAATTATGGTTATTGTGTACTAGATATATTATAGTCTGCAGCTGGGGTCGGCAACCTGCTTTCCTCAGGCTGCAGGTTTCCCGCGAATCAATTTTTTATGGATCGCACAAAGGTGGTTAATTTTTGTGTTTTATTTATGTTCAATAAAATTTTTCATACAACTTTTAATACTATTCAATTCTTTTTTCTTTATTAATAAATCTAATCTAATCGTTAATATTTGATGTTTATTCTATATAGTCATATAGTCAGTTTAATCTATAAAATTGTTATTATTATCTATTTGGAGTCGAAAATAATGATGGTTGCACTACTCAGTCATAGGATTATATTATAGGATAATTTCAACTTTTGAAAGGGAGGGGCAACTGATTAAATTTGCTGACTTCATAATATTTAAAAAAATATGGTTACCTATATATTTAAATATTTAATATTTATGGACCATAGACCATCAATAAAATATTATTTCGGAACAAAATATGTAAGGATTAGTAATTGATAATGATGTCATGATGATAAACAAAGAACATTAAAACGTTTCAATTTACTCAATTAAATAATAACATTAAAGATAGTAATACTTTAATTAATTTACTTATCCTATAGGCTATAAGTTACCTATCAATAGATTCAATGGAATAATAATATAAATTTAATTAAATAAATACTAATAATTTTACTATTTTTATATTTAATACTATACAAAATTTATTTATAAAAACATAAAATTGTATCTCAAATATAATGTACCGTAGTTTTGGGTGAATCGGAACGAATTTAACGGTTTTTTTTTTTATGAATTATGAGCTCAATTTTTATGGTATCGATATCATGAAAACTGTTTTATAATGATCATTGATCACACGTATAGAAATATATAACATACCAAAAGTAAAGTTTATAAGGTTTGCGTAATAACAATTGTCATAAACCGGGGAGGAGCCAGTATTACCAAACTTTTAATAAACCGTCAATGTGTATTTAAAATAGAATATTACCTGATTTCTGAGTACAAAATAGTAAATAAAAATGAACTATTTACTGATTTTGGCATTTGATCATCGGACAAAGAATTGCCGACTTTTTCAAATTTCTTAGAGTGGGCCATTTGCCATAGTCTGCCCCCCCCCAAATTACGCCCCTGCTGTCAACACAATGTGCCTAAATCGATAAATCTAAAAACAATCTTCCCAATGAGTAAAAGTGGCCTATTTCAAATAAGTGGTCCACCAGGAAACTCGTTATCCCGTTTGCCTAGTCCGGCCCTGATAGTCTATTATTTAAGAGTCCATATACTTATTTTCATTTACAATTTAATTTAAAATTATATTAATTATGTGTGTGTAAATTATAAAATTTATATAAAAAGTAGGGATGTGTAGTTCATGAGCTAGTCGACTCTTAAAAATGAACTGGACGAGTCGAATCAGTATTACAAGAGTTGGCGACTCAGTGAATCACTGACTCAGTTAAACTCATAACTCACAACTTTTCTACTGTAGATACACGTTTCTCGATTCTCAACTCCTTTGATAACGGCTTGCGAATCCAAACGGAAAATGTAATACCAACTTAAACAATAATTCCCCTAGGATTTGGTTATTAATATTTCCATTGTTTTTTAAAACATGATTTCTGACTTTCTGAGAAAAATTTGTAATGTTGTACGCTTATAGTCATAATTAATTTCATATGCGATAAACTAGTCACGAATATGAACTGTGAAATTGTGAGTTGAATCAAGAGTCGAGACTTGAAGAGTTGACTAGAGTAGTGGTAATCTGATTCAAACAAAGATTTGAAGAGTTGGGAGTCGACTCTTTGATTCAACTCATTACACTGAATTGAGTTGAAAGATTCAGTTCAGCAGAATGAGTTGGAATTCCCATCCATAGTAAAAAGTACTATTTCTTTCGTAAACGAAAATGGACATGTAGATTTTCATTTAAACCAAGGTTTGAAACCGTGAATGAAAAAATGAAAACTTTATGTGAATTTTTCATACAAGAACCATCACAGGTGAATTGTGATAAGTTATTATTTAAAAAATGTTTTAGATAAAATAATATAAATGTAAATTTGTAATTGTATTATTCATTTTATAAAATAATGTTATTTGAAATAAGTTAAAAATAGGTATTAAATTTCTTGCGGGTCTCCTAAACAATAATATAGATTCTCTAGTCATTCTCTCTTAAATTTCTTTTGAAGTTCTATCCCATTCATCACGCTTAAAGGCCCTCTTCTACATACCTCACGCCTCCACCAACTAAAATAAGTTAAAATAGTTATCAATAAAACACTTTTTTTATAGTATTGCGTCTAAAGATTTGGATAAAATAGTGTTAATATTTTACTTAGAGTATTTCCTACCCTCCTACCATGAGGGTCTAGTACCGCCTATGGTAATAACTTATTACTTATTATTTTAGGCTTATTACTAATAAACCTAAAATCGTTTATTATTATCTAAATTATATTTTAATATTATTAATTATCTGGTTATGTAACTTTTTCTTTTTTTTTTACTAATAACTTTGAAGAGTGATCAGTTTTTACGCAAATATGACGTGTATTTCAGACTCTATATCCCTTTCAACTTCAAGACATTTAATGTAAGTTAAATATTTAGGCACTGGTAATAGGCAAAATTCGGATTCTTGAAATTTGAAATCTAAAATCTGGATTTATTGAATTCTCGGAGAATTCGAACTTAATTCCTATTACTAATAGGCACTCCTACTAAACAATTAAATTAATTTTTTTTTATTATTTTTAAAGGAACTATTAAATCAAGGTTTGTTATTTTAATAACTTTTATACACAATACGGTCAAAAAATATCTTGCATAACATGTATATAATATGTACCCATATGACTAGGAAGTGATTTTTATTTATTAACTACCTAGGCAATTGAAATTCCTATTTAAAAAATGAAAGATTACATTATTTTCAAGGCTATTATTATTATTATTAATGATATATTTGATACTGAGAAATATAATGCATAGGTACGTTATTATATTTTTTCTTACTATTTTGACTCTGAATAAAGCGAGATATATTTTATTTATTAGAACATACTTCCAATGCATAGCTTCTGACAAAAAATGATAAAGAATTGTTTTAATTTTATATTTTGTGATGAGTTATTATAAATAAAATGTTTAATACAGCTTAATCAAAGTAGGAATAGGTATCATGTCTGTAAGTTTGCGTGTAAACCTAATATACGAAGCTGTACGTAATCTTTAAATTATAATAATTCATTGATGTACTATTTTTTTTCCTCAAAATATTTTTATTTATTTAAGATTTGAAAAATAACCGATTCAGGACTAACATCAATATTACTGTTGGCATGCGTGTTAATATGTGTCAAACGATGATTTATTTGCGTCTATAATAGTAACGTTACTGAATAGTGCGAGTTATATTATAAGTACTGGTTATAAATATATTGTTAAGGTTTTATTGTTTGTCCTAAATGAAAAGTAAGATTTAAAAATAATATATATGTTTCAGGATTCGATTTTAGTTTACACGCATACAATTCACTCTGTATCTTATGACAGATGTTGATAGGTGATTGAGAAGTAAAAATGATTGATGATAACTACTGATCATACACTTACACTGATCAATTTCCTAAAGAGATTATGAATTTTAAATGACTGTATTTTTTATTTTAAAATTATTTATTTTATTTATTTATAATTTATTCTTCTTCTTCTTCAGATGCCTATCCGATTTCAAATATTGGCTACCATTCCAGCAATGTTCTCTTTGTTGATTGCATCGCGAAAGAACTCTGATGAGCTCTTTCCAAACCATTTCCTTAGATTATGAAGCCATGATTTTCTTTTTTTTCCAGGTCCTCTTTTTCCAATTATTTTCCATTGCAAAATGGAGTGTTGAATACCTATTCTCATTCCGCATTATGTGTCTTAGGTATTGAAGCTTTCTTATCTTTATAGTATTTACTAGTAGAAAGGCAACGCCGGGTAATTCAGCTAGTAATATAATATAATAGTTATAAGCCACTTTAGGTGTCTCATAAGATGAAACGATTTTTATTTGTTTTCAAAATTATCATATACATTATCTGTACGACATGTCGCGACACACACATATATATATATATAAATCCCAAAATACAATAATGTAATGTAATACCTGGGGTATAATAAATATAATCTTAAGAATGGCAAGACCATACTATGAATATTAAACATCATGTTACTAATAAAACTATAAACAGGATTTTGTATTCTGGTGAAAAGATAAAATTATTTTTTTTATCACAAATACGGTATGAAATTATATTTTTTATTTTGTGTCCTACAATTGCCTATACAAGGCGCCGTCTATAAATTTTATTTTATTATGACAAAAGTAAGCTTATAGGCGTGCATAGACTTTTAGTTCTTATACTCGTAATTAATTAGAATCCCATA